CGGAGTTGGAGCAGACGTCGACGGGCTCTTATGCGTCTCTAGAAAAAAAAACCACACGACTGCCGCGAAGCTAGCTGGCAGCTTGCTCACTGGTTGGCTTACGCATTTGAGGTGGAAAGCGCTGGACTTGAGCAGCGCATGAAGCGTGCGGGGGACTGGGCACGGGCCCGAGCCTGTCTGAAGTATAGCTAGCTCTGCCGAATGCAAGATTCAAGAGTCTACTTGCCTACCTGAGCAACTCGGATCATTATGTTTGTCGAGGGTTCCGTGCTCAAGAGTGACCCCTGATTTTTTTGACTGTATGGCCACCCCCGCCGACCCGTTCCAGGTCACAGGTATGTGCGGAGGAGACCCCTGATCCACACATGTCATGTCATCTCCTGATGAGTTTGTTTCGACAATATAGCTTGAGACCTGGGCTAGTCGAATTGTGGATGGATTGCCCGCGGCGGTTGGGCGATAAGTCGGCGATAAGGTTTCATATCGCACGGTTGTTGTATCGATTGTGGAAATCTGCGCAGACGAGCGAAGACGGGCGAAGACGAGCGACGACGAGCGACGAGTGACGAGCGACGACGCGCGAAGACGAGCGAAGACGAGTGACGCTCGCGCTCGGCGTTGCTCGGCGCTCGGCGTCGCCGAGACTGCCGCCACGCTCTGCTGATTGCTGACGGATCTTGAGAAGACCCTGTCCGTGAGCCAGCAAGCTCAGGCCAAATGTTTTGGCAAAGCTGACTCAAATGGTGTGCTCAGGCGTCATGTCAAGAATGATCAAGAATGGTAAGTACGCAAAATATACGGCCAGCACCACATGAGTTTCTTGCGAGTGCTGAAGTACGCGCAGGTGTTGAGTCAGCCACGTATGGACTGAGTGTGGGATGAGTATGTTTACCTGCGCGTTGACATTACACAGGAGCCTTCGAGAACTGAGACTCAGGACTCTTTTCAGGCACATCGCATCATCACCATCGGTTGACAACCCTCGTCCCGGTTCACGGTCGAGTCTCGCCTTCTTTGGGGAGAGTGGCTCGCATGGTGCGAAGTACTGTACAGTTCACATTGGTACCCACTCTGCTGAAGCTGTTTGCACATCTGCTGGCCGGCATCTTCAGAAATTGAGACTAGATGGGTTTCGCCATGGACAGCTTGCCGTTTCAAGGCACAGCATGCATGGTACAACTCTCATGGTGTGGCTGGTGGGCCCAGACAACATCCGGCCTGGTACTACTGAATCCCCCTACCCCCTCCTTCGACCCCCCGCCTAATTACGTAAGAAATCCAGCCACTAACTTCCTAATTTGCCCCCACTCGCCCCTCTCTCAGTTTCTTATTTCCAAGAAATACAGCGCCGCAGTTTTTTGGGGGGGACCGAAGAAAGCTGGATGTCTTACTTGATTGGCAAGTTTTTGCTGTACGTTGCCGCGGATGGACCAGGCTCTCGGATAGAAAAATTGAGCGGCCTGTCAGGCACGGCAAGTACATCAGCAGCTGATGGGGCAGCTGCTGTCTTAGCCTGCTGTGCCTCCCCCCCCCCCCTCCCGCTGCCGATTTTATGCACCACATGATAACATGTCTGTCATGTTTGCGAGACACGTAGCACGTCTGTATTTCCAACACATCATTTCACTTCAAGTCAGGGACCAAATCCTGAATGACTATGACTGCACGGACGTTGCCGACATTCCAAGTTGGCCGTGGCCTGATACGCCGTGGAGTTCGAGGAGCCGTCGATCGATGTTTATGAGTGCTGGTTGTTGTGCAGTATGTTGCGAAGGTCAGATGCACACAAGGCGTGGTGCTGTGAGCACCATGACACCGCGCCCAAGCCTAAGTCGCCAATCCATGCTGCAACGATTACCCCATGGATTGATGATGGCATGTGATCTTGAAAACCGATAAATTCGGCCGCGATTCAAAGAGTCCAGGGTACGCAGCAGGTGGCGCCGAAGACAACTGCGGACACCCCCTGAGCGATCTAGTACCTTGTGTTCAGGGAGCACGATCAAATAACCGCAGAAGTCTGAGTAAAGTGAGCTTGAGAACGGCCCTTTAATCTTATTTCAAGGAGCGAGCGACGCGTGAATCACATTCAAGGAATGGATGATGAACGGATGATAACGGATGGATGGGAGAATGAGGGTGAAAAGGGGGCCAAATAATAAATAAGTCTTTTCATAGGGCCCTTTTCATCTCCCCCGTTCGCTGCGTCACAAATGTGCTCGAACTCCATTCCGCTCGAGGATGACATGTTGTATGCTCTGGTGCCCTACAAATCATTGGCGACATGTCCGTCAGCACCCTCTCGTTACTCAGTCAATCGATTCTGCGTTCGCCCGCGATGGGAAAATGCGACCACCGCTCGATGGGAACCGCTCGGATACACAAATGTCGAGTGCAAACCGCTGCCATTCAGCGTGTACCTCGACAATACGAGCCGATGTTCAAGCCACCGACTCGGGCGAGTTTGCCACTGTTTCGGAAGCAGGTGGAAAATTTGGTTTGCACTGCAGATGCAATGCTTTCATGTCGAGCAGTTCGTTGTCGCAGCAAACAGACTGGGGGTAGAGGGGACGTGAGCAGCAGCGGGGCCGCGACATTCTCCTGTTTTGATGAACCCTTGTGGATCCTTGTGGTGTTCATGTAAGTCATCGGCGCTGAGGTGCGCGGCGGAGGCCCTGATTTTGAAGTTGTCCTCAACTCTTGCCTAGAGGCTTGCATAAGGCATGCGTGCGACACGGCATGTCACGACTGCACCCGAACATAATTATCCGAGCCTCCTAAGTTGTGATGCCATAAGCATGTATCTCAAGAGAGAGATCTCAAGTTATTCGGCAGCCAGGCGTCGACAAGCCATTCACCCCAGCACTACGTACCTCGACTGAGACGTGCCGGGAGTGCTGTGTTGGTCAGATGGATGTTGCACCACGACTGTTTTGTTCAGCCGGTACAAGACCTAAGATCTGTTGCCAGTATGAGAGTAACTAGAGGGTGACCTGTCCCGCATTATGATTGCGAGCTATAGCCCACCTGCCAAGATGTGGATCTCTGTCCCCTTGCACAAGGGGAAGTGCGCCCGACCGACATTCGCACAGGGAGAGACGTAAGCAGAACCTCGTCAAACGTCCAAGACATTGCTTCCAACATGCCTGAAACGCAGCAGGTATGACTGCGCAGCTGGGGTGAAGAACTGGCTGAAAGGCCGACTGCAAAAGAATCTGAGCATTGCAACCTCCGTGTTGCAAGCATTTCCTTGCAATGCCGAGGCTGGTCGCACCGCGGAGCTCTTAGCCACATTTGCTTGCTCTCGTGATGTCCATGGGATCCAGTCTGCCAATACCGCCACACACTGTCGAACATGCAACGTGGCAAGCTACCTTTACATCCAACTTTACATCCTTAATGCATTTACTGCCTGGCAGCATTCAAGCCCGGCGCCGTTTTGGAGGAAATGTATTGAAGCGCCTCAGCATTCTCCCAAAGGATGACTGTAGCACGGGTGCCCAAAGCCTTTTCTTCGGCAAAGGCATCTAAAGTGGGTGCTTTCATCCTTCGCACATGGGGAGATTGATGGAGCCTGCCGTGTGAAGTTAGCTTCTTGCCGTTGGTGGGCCATGAGTTGAAAACATCCTGTTGACGACAATTCGGCACTGCAAATTGAATGTATATACGCTCTTCGGCTTCCATGCCTGAGGCAAGCAGAACTGGTGCTGTAAGAACAAGGGCATCGGATGCTTGCAGGAGGTGAGTCGCGCACTCAGCTGTCGGACGAGCACAGCAATGAAAGAAGGAATCATAAAAGTTTGCTCATGTTTTGCACGTCATTTCGCGACTAAAGGGACGGTTGAATCCGACCCGCGCACGACAGCACGCGTGTACCCACACAGACCATTGCCATGATTGTGATTCAAGTTGGGTTCAAGCTTCCCCCTTTCCAATTGCCAGGCTGCTATAGGTGCTCGCAGCAGAGAACAGAACACTTGTCAACAACAGCATGACATGAGCCTGCATACATCTACGAAATCACTGGGAACACCTCATTGCACCCTTCTGCGCTGCTGCGAAGTACTCGGCCCTCACTCCTCCATCCAGAATACTATTTCAAATTTGTTCTCACGACGGATGGAAAAACGCTCGCTCATGAACCCAGATGGGCAGCTACGGCGGCAGTTGCCAGGCTGTGTGCAGGGCACGCTCGCGCCTAGGCGAGAGCGTGATTTTCGTCCAGAATGCCGACCCTCCGGGCTTCCGCAGGATAAGAGAACCTGACCAGCGAAACAGAAGCCGACAGTTTGTTCACAAGAGGCAATGTCCAAGGTGTAAAGAACTGGACTGGAACGCAGGAGCGCAAGAAGTCTTTTCAGGGTTCCGCGAGCGGTAGGAGGTGGGGCGGCTATCTTGTCGGCAGTCGTTGTTCCTATGCTTGTCAACCGTTCCAGAAATCCAAACCCCAGCCTATTCCTGATGGGCGTGTGCAATCTGCACTCTGCTGTGTTCTTATGCCAACCTAGCACCGGAATTGTTGAAGTACTAGTAATGCATGAAGATATGTTTGCAGCAAGGCACTGAACGAGTCATAGGGAGGCCCTCAACATATACATACTCGATATACTCGTCTATGCGTTCTGAACAGGTGCAAGGGTCACTTGCAAGGACGACGAGCCCAACTTGTGTCATCATGTCGGACATGCTAGAACATTTTGCTTCTGTAAACATCGTCTTCATATGTGTGCAACCTCGCCCAACTTCACGATGTCCTGTTTGTAAGACTGCCTTGAGACCTCTACCCAAGCACAGCTTTTTGTTTCTGCACGAGACCTGCAGAGTCGGTTGTTGCGTCTTTTGTCCAAACAAGCGACGATGCGGCCATATGCGGCCAGTGCCGCCAGACCAGGCCTTGCTCAAGCGCATCAAGTGCAATAAAAGCCTTGCAATTGCGCCCCCCATCCGTCGGAGCTGCGGCAAGCGGCACCGCAGATATATGTGCCTGGTGGACGAGAGGAATGATTCGTCCGAAGCTGTTGAGGGTTGTGCTCGCACAGGCACTACGAGGACTGCGAGCGCTGGAAGTTGGAAATCCACTTGTGTCCTGGACGTCGGTCGGCGAGGGGCAAGAGGGTGGGCAGGGCGGCGTTGTTGTGCTTGATGCTGGGATTTGCTTCCAGATCCCAGGGTCGGTCTATGCTGTGAAGGCGCACTTCACCGAAAATGCTGAGGAACAGTTGGAGTCAGAAGACTGGCCTTTGTTCGTTCTGCTTGAGCATGTTGAGACGGAGGAGAGAACAATTTGGAAGGTAACCGCCACTTCCGATGCACGACGCATCTCACCGTTTGGGCGACCCACGCAGCTGCAGTTAGCTTCGCCGTTGCCTGCCAGGCCCGGGCAGTGCCTGGGCTGGCACACCACCAAAACTCATGGGACGAAAGGCGTTAGAGCTGTTGGCTTCACTGATGCTGCGTCCTTTGGTCAGCGCTGGGCTCACCCGGACGGCAAGGACCAAATGGCCCTCTCTGCCTTGGCAGACATGCCACATCCACCGAATGAGGGTTCACATTTACGCTTTCACAAGCTGTATCACAGACGCTACGCCCTCGTAGCTGAGCAGGAGCCTTACCAGAACAGCTTTCACCGCTATGCCTTGGATTACTTTGCTAGTAGGAATGATGTGGAACCAGTGTCACGCTCTGCTGTCTCAACAAATTGCTGGTCGGGCACGACTCCTGAAATGTGCTGCGTGCCTGCGGGCATTGGCACTCCCTGGTGTTTCGATGCTGTGTATACTTATGAGCTTTGTTGTACGCCTTCCGCAGCCGGGGTGAGCGGCTGGACTCCAAGTTCATCCTCGCTGCCGCCGAGCACATTGGAACAGCTGCATCCAAACTTAGTCACCGATGACGGTTTGGAACCTTCGCCGAGGCCAAGCATCTCAGTGGATTTGTTTGTGCGCACCTACCATGCAAAGCTAGAGGAGCTCACGCATCTGTTGCATTCTGTTGCTCTCTTCTGGCCAGCTGACTGGGGAGTAGTGGTTGTTCTGGACGGAAACAGCCTGCAGGATGAGCATGCCTGCTCAATGCTACCAAAGTGGGTTCGGTGCATTCTGCAGCCTGTGCCGGCATTCTTGTCAACTTTGAAACCCTCATTCAGCCACGTGGATCCTTTCGGTCACCTTGGAGGAGTGCAGCGGCAGCGCGGACTGGTTTGGAAGGAGTGGTCAGAGTGCTGGGCAGATAAATATTCCAGAGCCCAGTTCATTGCTGTGTGTGATAGCGACGTTGTTCTAACAACATTCGGACTTCCACAGCTCCTTTTTCAACCCGCAGAACAGCTAAGCAACGGCGTTCGGCCTGTGGTTTGGGCGCACGCAGACAATGCACAGTTTCCTAACACCGTAGCTGCGCTCGGGCTACCAATCCAGGCGGAGTTCATGGACGGCTTCCCCTTGGTCATAAAGAGACGCCATTTCCGATCTCTGCGACACCATATTGTGGGGCTTTATGGCAGCGAGCCAAAGCACAATTCATCTAGAGAGAATTTTGATGGGGCATTCGCTCAGCTTCTGGCGAAGATAAGCGTGCTCTCTGGTGGTTCTGAGTGCCCCTCTTTCCATTCAATGATGGGCTCCGTGCTGTGGGCTTATCACCGCAATGAGTATGTGTGGTCTATTCGACATGGACACTTAACAGGCGTGGCACTTCAGCATACCTGCCCTCGCTTACGTGTTGCCCAGCATGTGGCATATTGGGGAAAGGAGAACTGGGTATCCTATGCAGGCCTACCGGAGAAACATTTGAAAGTCGGAGGGCATCCAGCAGTCCTTTCAGAAGTTGCGTATGCTGCTAGAAGCACAGCACTAATACTGTCGGGCCTGTGCGCGACGCAGTGGATGGAGATCAATGCCTCCACTTTTGCTAGTTTTGCGAAGCTGAGGCAGAACTTTACTTCTCTTTTTGCTGGGCGGGGGCTGCAAGTCCCTGATGCGGGTCTACTCGAGGTGCAACGGGATTTGTGCTCACACGGCCTCCGCCTTGCAGAAGGGCGAGCTGAGATAGAAGAAAGGTTGCTGGCACGAAGTTTTCCTGGTCAGCGCTGGACCTCCGCGGAAGCGAAGCATTGCGGCAACCTGCAGCCAGCAACGCTGTTGGCGGCATACCGCCGCCTAATGCGGACGATTGTTTTCACCATTCCACAGTCAAGCTGGAAAAAAGGCCCGTCAAAGCGGCGTGAAAGTTGGAATGTGTTGGAATTCTGCATCTCCTTGCCAGGCTTCGATTGTGAGGTGTCGTGTGCTGTATTCTCACGTCAACCACTGGAATTGGGACATGTTGGCACCTCTGGCTAGGTCGTCCCTTCGATTGTTTGAAGGGCACAGCTGCAGCCCAAGAATGCCCCAGATCACAAGACAGCAATTCCACAGTTATGCCAAGCAACATCCCGAGCCCTGCAATCCCCTCTGCGTGCTCAGGCGGTGCACTGGCCAGCTCAGAAGAAAGTATGGTGCTGTGAGGTGCTTACAGTAGACTGGTTTGGCATCCGAGATCAAACCTTTTCTGTGCACACGTAGCTGACGGGTCCATCGGAGGTCCGCTCTCGAAAGTGATGTCTGTTTTACATTGCACATCCTGCCAAACTGAGGTCTCCATGAAAACCGCGGATGCCCAGCGCAGGGGACATTTCATCAGGCCCCGAGACTCACATTCAACAGTCCAACTGTCCCTGTACAAGAAGCAGCTTCATACTACACTACATAGCTGCAGCAGCTTCACGACTTGCGTTCGTTTGAGTCATATTGGACGGCAAGTACGGACAAAAGCAGTCTGATTTGGCATTTTGTCAGCAGGCGCAAAGTGCGTTCGATTGCCGTGCTGGCTTCACAAGCTGGTCAACTGCTTGGTCGACTGCCAAGCAGGCCGAGACAGAGTTTGCGAGTGGAACATTAGAGCGGGAGAAGCTTCCCCAGCCGCTGCTTAGTTCTGTGCGAAGCCGCACTGGCATGCTGCAGGAATGGTGTTGCGCTCACCACGGTCGGGGTTGCGCACAGACGCCTGGCAGGATTCTAGCAAATTGGCTTTGCTCTGTTCAAATTTCTGGTGCTGGTTCAGATGTCACGAGGTCTCGCGGGGAGCACGGCATCTTCGACTGCTCCTCAGGTTTATATCACTGGCATGACCAATGGTCGGCTGACAAGAAGGCGCCCCCGAGACACCGAAACAAAGCTCAGTCGACTAGAAGCGAGTGGGACTGGGGCAATGCGAGCACAGGCTTCTTTTCAAAGCTGCGTGAAGGTCAATCATAACAAAGCTTTGCGGCGGCCATGCAGCAATTTGCATGTGACAGGCTTGGTGTTGCGAAACCTACAGCCTCGGATGTCCTGTTGAACAAGAAGTGCAGTACGACTGTGACGCTGGGCTCCTCATTCGCACCCAAAAGCTGAGAGAAGATGTGTTCATTTGAGCCAAAAGTTTTCCTTTCCACAGCCCAAGTAAATCTGAGGTATGCGAACTGGAGGGTTGGCTGGTCTGGAAGCAAGAAGGTCCATTCTTCGTTCAGTCATATTAAGCGTTGCGGAAAGTCGTGCAGTGGCAAAGCGAACCAAGGCCTGGTGCTGTACCCACTCCTCCCGAGGCTGCGTGTACGATTAGCAGGAGTTCGCCATTGTGTAGGCTTGTGTCACCGCATTTGGCTAGAGCTTCTTCTGCCGATGCATGCCGTCGCATGCTACAGCAGGGGCAGTCCTGGCTCAGGATTCTGTACTCTATTTAGGTTCCTCCTCTCATTCTCTCCGCGCCGGATGCCTCAAAAGGAGGCTAAGGGTGGGACTGAGAACCCGAGGAGCAATGGCTGAGCCAAGGCGCTAAAGAGTGTCTGCAGCATGGTCAAGTCCATCCGCTTGCTTTGAAAGCATCAACGTTGCCAGCTCGGGACTGTGAGTAGCCAGATCACAGGTTTCAACACGAAACGTAGTGCAACCAATGGTGAACTTCCAAGGGCTAGCAAAATCGGAGCCAGCTACAGCGCTTGTAGCCATCGTGCATTATGATATGTAGAAATACAACGGAAGATATGTTGTAGTATAGTAATATATAGCCTTGAAAACAGCGTATCCGCACCATGGAGCGGTACCGAGCCGCGTTTGCCGCGCTAGACGAACACGACATCTCCGCGAAGAGAGTGCAATCTAGCAACCTGATGCAACCTGGTCGGAGCTTGTTGTGATGCACAAGGGAGGCTGCTTCCTAAGCAAGGATGTGTGGGCAAGAGCAGACACGACCACATCTCGGCCAAGGGCCGGCAGGCCAGAAAAGCATGTCGCCGGCGGATCTTCGATTGCATCAGATGTGAGCGGCACTCTGGACAACACGCACAGCAGACATAAGTGCATGTTGCCATCATTGCTGAAGGATGAGCAAGATGATACAGAACTATGACTCACAACAGAAAGGTGGCCTGGACCGTGCAGAGCTGCAAGCTTTGCTGGCTGACCTTACAAGCACAGATGTGACTTTGGCATCTCGACGTGCAGATTGTCGTTGCAGTGCATGTCAAAACTACGGCAAATTGTGTTGCAACGTGTTTGCCGGGGTGGCCAATGGATGTGGACGATGTAAATGTAAACAAAGCCAACCAATGCGGTATCTTTCCAGCTTGTTCTGACCAGACCGTCAGGACGAACTTGACTTCTTTTTCTCCGTCAATGACAGCTCTGGAGATGGCATGACTGGCTGCTTTCTGCAAGCAGGTTTCCCTTAACAAATCAAGTTGCTGGCAGAGTGGAAGATGACCCAGAAGCGTTTGCTCATTTAAAGTGCTTTGACAGTTGACATGGATGTGCATGTGTACTCTGTTGATGTACGTATGCGTGCCTACATGTGTGCGTGCATAATTATGATATGCGTGGGCGTGTCCGCATGTCGACATGTCGCCCGTCGGCGTGTGTGCGCGTGGTGTCTCTGTGTAGTGCAGTGCAGTGTAGCGCAGTGCGCGTGCAGTGCGTGGAGTGCGTGGATTGTGTGCTAGTGTGTGTGTGTGTGTGTGTAGTGTGTGTAGTGTGTGTAGTGTGTGTAGTGTGTGTAGTGTGTGTAGTGTGTGTAGTGTGTATAGTGTGTGTAGTGTGTGTGTAGTGTGTGTAGTGTGTGTAGTGTGTGTAGTGTGTGTTGTGTGTGTTGTGTGTTGTGTGTGTTGTGTGTGTGTGTGTGTTGTGTGTGTGTGTTGTGTGTGTGTGTGTTGTGTGTGTTGTGTGTGTGTTGTGTGTGTTGTGTGTGTTGTGTGTGTGTGTTGTGTGTGTTGTGTGTGTTGTGTGTGTGTGGTGTGTGTGTTGTGTGTGTGTGTTGTGTGTGTTGTGTGTGTTGTGTTTGTTGTTGTGTGGGTGTGTTTGTGTGTGTGTGTTGTGTGTGTGTGTGTTTGTGTGTGTGTGTGTGTGTGGTGTGTGTATGTGTGGTGTGGGTGTTGTGTGTGTGTTGTGTGTGTTGTGTGTGTGTTGGGTGTGGTTGTGTGTATGTGTGTGGTGTTGTGTGTGTTGTGTGTGTGTGTGTGTGTTGTGGTCTGGGATTTGGTGTGTGGGTGTGTTTGGTGTGTGTGTTGTTGTGTAAGTGTTGTAGGTGTGTGTGTGTGTGTGTTGTGTGTGTTGTGGGTTGTGTGTGTGGTGGTGTGGTGTGCTTGTGTGTGGTGTGTTGTGTGTGTCCCCGTGTGTTGTGTAGTGTTCTGTGTTGTGTGTGTTGTGTGTGTTGTGTGTGTTGTGTGTGTTGTGTGTGTTGTGTGTGTTGTGTGTGTTGTGTGTGTTGTGTGTGTTGTGTGTGTGTGGTTGTGTGTGTTGTGTGTGTGGTTGTGTGTGTTGTGTGTGTGTTGTGTGTGTTGTGTGTGTTGTGTGTGTTGTGTGTGTTGTGTGTGTTGTGTGTGTTGTGTGTGTTGTGTGTGTTGTGTCTGTTGTGTGTGTTGTGTCTGGTGTGTGTGTTGTGTGTGTGTTGTGTGTGTTGTGTGTGTTGTGTGTGTTGTGTGTGTTGTGTGTGTTGTGTGTGTTGTGTGTGTTGTGTGTGTTGTGTGTGCTGTGTGTGTTGTGTGTGTTGTGTGTGTTGTGTGTGTTGTGTGTGCTGTGTGTGTTGTGTGTGCTGTGTGTGTTGTCTGTGTTGTGTGTGTTGTGTGTGCTGTGTGTGTTGTGTGTGTTGTGTGTGTGTGTTGTGTGGTTGCGTGTGTGTGGTTGCGTGTGTGTGTGTGTGTGTGTGTGTGTTGTGTGTGTGTGTGTTGTGTGTGTTGTGTCGTGTTGTGGTGTGTTTGTGTTGTTGTGTGTGTTGTGTGGGTGTGTGTTTTGTGTGCGTGTGTGTTTTGTGTGCGTGTGTGTTTTGTGTGTGTGTGTGTTGTGCGTGTGTGTGTGTGTTGTGTGAGTGTACGTAAGTAAGTAGGTCAGAAAGTAAGTAAGTAAGTACGTAAGTAAGTAAGTGAGGAAGGAAGGAAGTAAGTAAGCAAGGCCTGTTGCGCGTGTTGTTCGCCAGACCGTACTTGCAGTAGGGGTTCTTACAGTGGCGGAGTGGGCGGGGTTTCCTTAAAGCCTAAAGAAATCCCAAAAACTAAATCTACCCTAAACCCTAGACCCTAAACCCCCTTTGAGGGTCCCAGATCCCCCCCTCGAGCCCAAGATGACGACCTTCAAGGCCAAGGGTTGTTGCTTGGGTTATCGGCTTTAGGGTTTGAGAGTTTATGCGTTTCAGGGGTTTAAAGGTCTACCTACCTTTAGGGGTGTTCTTATGGTCTTTCGGGAGGCAAACATGGCCAAGCTGCACCCCCAGCTCGCTCTCGAACGCCCTCACAGCAACCTGGCATGGGGCTTACGGCTTTCGAGTTTCGGGTTGACGAAGCCCCTGAACCCAAAAACACGAGAGAAGCTGGAAAGCCACGCCTAAGGCTAGCGTGCCTGCAAAAGCTTGACATGCATCCTAATTTACAGACGTTCTGGAGGTCCGGCGTTTTCCAGTAGGTGACAAACGAGTGGACGCAAACCAACCAAGCCCCATCCTAGTTTGCTGAACTCTGAACAACCCAGAACCCTACACCTTGTTGGAGCCCTTAACCTCGACGAGTTCTGAACCGCAAAAAAAAAGCCTAAAGCCCTGAACAGCCGAACCGCTACAAAGGCAGGATGCAGCTACCTCCCTGAACCTCTAGAAGAACATTATAAGGGATGGTGTCTCCCTTGACTTTCTTTGTTCACCCCGTGTCCGTGTGTGGGTTTGAGTCTTGGGCTTCGATGTCCCGACAACCGAAGACTGATTCGACTCGCGCAAGTGATGTATACATCCGATGCCAGGAAAACCAATCACGACTCACACATAGAAGATGGGTCTAAGTTGCGGGCCAAATCCTAGAAGTCTTGTCAGGGCCCTTCAGCTCGTGCCGGACGCACCACGCTCTGCGAGCTGCTGCCTACCTGGGTAGGCACGAACGTTGGGCTATCGGCCGTCATGTCTCACACCAGAAAGACAGAGGGAGACATGCAGGGAGAGAGCGTGACAGCGGGCTCGAGCGTGTGAAGAAACAGACAGAGAGAAAGAGAGAAAGAAAGAAGGAAAGAGAGAGAGAGGGCTCGAGAGAGCTAGAGGAAGAAAGGCATGAGACAGAGAGCGCGTTAAGCCGAAAAAAGCCCGCCCTACACGCCAGAGCTTGGGAGTGCCTTGAGGGGCTTCGAGGGACCTCCGGAATGCAGGCCATACGGACTTCGAATGTCGGGCCACAGGGCTTTGCGTGCTTCTCATCCGAAACCCAAGCCCGGTAGTTCTCAATCGGGGCCCAACCATCCCCAAAAGACACAAAATACTTAAGTAAACGGAACACCCCAAAAGGGTACCCCCCATCCATCTGAAGCCCCGAAAGCCTTGGGAGCCCTTCGCCCCCCTAAACCCTGGGACCTTCTTCTCTTTACAGCCCCCCTGAACCCTAAACCCTAAACCAAAAACCCCAAAAACCCTAAACCCTATACCCCCCTAAACCCTAAACCCCCCTTTCAAACTCCGAGGCTGAAGCGAAGCTGTCGGTTCAGGCAGGATTGTCAGGGCTTCGGCTTTTAGGGGGTTAGGCTTAGGGCTTAGGGTATCCAACGTCTAGGATTCGCAGGCTTTGCAGTTCAGATCCGTTCAAGACTACGCAGCACCCCCAGGCCGCCTGACAATGAGCTGCACCCAGCAACAACACAAGCCCCACTCCTCAACATCATGGCTGCTCGAACTTGCTATCTAAAATGTAACATGATTGGATTTGTTCACTTGGATGTGGCTAGCAGTTCTTCGGGCACAACCTAACCCCAAACCCGGACTGGCTGAGCTTTCAGAAAGCAAAGGAACTTAATTTCGGCGCCTGCTGAGCCGCTCACCACCTAGAGGGAAAAGGGCTTCCGGGCCCCCAGCGCGCTTGGAGGAGACGGCGCCGAGCGCCAGCGCCGCCGACGCGGCGCCCACACCGATGCTCAGGGCCTCGGGGCTTTGGGGCTTGAGTCTAGGGCCTGGTCAGGGTTGTAAGCTTGGAGCTTAGGGCTTCGGAAGTGTTGAGTAGGGTTGTGGCTTGTGGGGGTTTGCCGCTGGATTTGGGGCTAAGGGTGCTAGGGTCTGGGTAAACATAGGGTTTGGGGTCCGGGGGGTTTTGCCTAAGCCTACGGCCT